AACTCACCACCCACCGACCGACACCCAGTCAGTCCCTGAGCAGCGATCGCTGCCCCCCGGCCAACTCCCCCCCAGCTTATATACTGAGCATGACGTCCCATGGTATGGAATATCCCTTTGGCCAGTTTGGGTCAGCTGTCCTGGCTGTGCCCCCTCCCAGCTTCTTGTGCACCTGCAGCCTTCTCAGTCAGTAGAGCATGGGAAGCTGAAAAGTCCTTGACTAGTGTAAGCACTGCTTAGCAACAACTAAAACATGGGTGTGTTATCACCATTATTCTCATACTAAATCCAAAACACAGCACTGTACCAGCTACTAGGAAGAAAATTAACTCTATCCTAGCTGAAACCAGGACAGTGTACAGAGATGATGAGGCCTTGCTACGTAACAGTGACTGGTTAAGTTATTGTAACCCCTCCACCACTCTGTGAAATGCTGTCACAGTATGTTGAGGCTCATGATATCTCATGTTCTTCTTCCAGTGGCCACCGTGTCTTGCTCTTTTCTCAGATGACTCAACTGCTTGATATCCTGCAAGACTACATGGACTATAGAGGTATGTTCTGCATGCTTTGGCAGCAGAGGGCTTATCCTCATGATCTCCAGCATATATTGTTCCTCTGATTTTGGTTGATCTGCCTGGGGTGGAGAAGGGACTGTGATGGGGATTTATTGCTGCTTAGTAGATAGAAACCATATTGCTGCAGTGGTGCTGTGAGTTGGAGGGTCTTGAGTTCAGCTCTTTGCTGTGCTACCACCTGCCTGAAATGAGCTGACACTTAAATATTGTTCTTCAAAGTAGTTTCAGCTTTGGCTCCACGATAAAATGGAGCTAACAGATGGCAGGGCAGCAATGTTTCATTATATACCTGTGTTCAGTTATGTACCTGAGTCCTGAAGTAATTGCACTGAAGGCAACAGGCTTGCTCTAGATTCAGTTTGTCCAGCACAAAATGCAAATTGGGCCACATTCATACCAGGAAAGTAATTTTTGATTAAAACAGTTGTTGGCAGTGGGGCCCCAATATGTCTGCGAGGGCAGGTTGGATCAGACCATTTTTGGCAAGTGTTCTTGGGACATTTTCTTTTGTTTCAATCCACATGGCTCCATGCCTACTTAGGATTTCCCATGAAAGAGGCTTTTGTTTGGTGTTTATGGTTTTGGACAACTAATAACGCAGGATAAAGCCAAATGTAGGGCCATATCCCATGCTGCTTGCTCACAGGAAAGCACACATTGAAGGCCATGAGAGTTTGCATAAGGAGGATCCAATGGTTGTTGGCCTGTTTTGTGGGGCCAACAGCCAATGCAGCATAGTCTGAAATGGGACTGTGTGCAAATGTTCTTTTACTTTGGCTCTCAATTTTCCTGTTGTGTTTCCAAGCAGTAAATTAAATGCTAAGAGTCTCTGCTTCAGACTCGGCTAAATAACCCTTTGCCGACAGTCAATCTGGAAGTCAGGGTCACTACTTCAGTTTATAAGAGGTTTAACTGGGAAAGAATGAAGGAGTTGAAGGCAATAAAATGAGAATCAAGGCAGGAGGATTTGGCATAAAAAGATTCAGGACAGCAGTGAGACAATAGAGAATGAGGTAAGAGCATAGACAGAATTTCAGAAACATACGTGTTGCTTGTTTGAAAAGGCTACAGCTACGAGCGGCTGGATGGTTCTGTTAGGGGTGAAGAGAGACACCTTGCCATTAAGAACTTTGGTCGACAGCCCATCTTTATCTTTCTGCTGAGCACCAGAGCAGGTAATTAAGGAAAGGAGAGACAAACAACCCATCTTGCTTCTGCACTCTTCTTTTGCTCTCTCTGGCAAGATTTCAGGGAGTTCTGAATCCTGCAGAGCCTGTTCTCGTGGGGGATTTTTGAGGGAGACAAGACACATCCTGAACTTGGGTCTCTCAGCTAGGACATCTGGTTTCTGTGCTTTGCTTTCGGCATCTGATGCCAAGATACTTTTCATATTGCAGCCACTTGAGTTACCTTTTTTATTCCAAGTCCCATAATGCCTGTCCCTGTGCCAGGCTGAGCTTAAGGAATCTCACTAGCGTTTTATTTCTGCAAGCACCAGACTTTAGGAGGGAACAGAATTCCTTTAAGTAAGCTGGTGGAATTGCTTCTCGAGTTCGCTGAACATGGATATGCTCTCTCGCTGGCAGACAGACTCAGATGAGAACCTTTTACTGTCCTGAGACTGCAAAGAACACCATGGGACTACCATCTGTGCTTCTTCTCCTCTTAGCTCCTCAGGCAGGTCTGTGTCTTCTACACACTTTCAAACTTCCCTGTCTCTTTATTCAAGCAAGCACAGAGACAGGCTTGTCTCCAGAGGAGGGATCCACACTGCTTGATCTCAAGCATCAAACTTGAACTAAGTTTTCTTTTGGGCTTCTGGTCAGACTTTCCTGGATGAGCCTGGCTCCAATGATACTGCAGTGCATTGATGAGACTATGTAGAGAGACTGAAAAGAAGCACCTAATGCTAGGTGGTAGGAATAAGTGTGTCTCTCACCACGATGCCTGAACTCTCCCTGCCCATGTCAGCAAGACTTAGAGTTGTTTTTTACTGCACATTGCTATGTCTGGCCAAAGCATCTTGTATTCATCTGGGAACAGTATTTCCATCACTGTTATGGACAGAGATTTTTCAGGTGCATGACTGTCTCCACTTGCAGGGATGTTCTGATTACTGTGAAGAGGTGCTGGGCATGAGCGGGAAGAAATGTAAGGCAGGAGGCTCCCCCTCCAACTACAGTATGTAGTCACAATAGTGGGTATTAAAAAAAAAAATTGTGTTTTTTTTCTTTTCATTCCATGAGAGCCCAAATTCTAACCTCAAAAACTTTAAGTCATATAAATACCTAGGCTCTGGTTATTGTATAGTTGGGCCTGGTGTTTTCCACTGTTTCAGCAATGTATTTACCTGTTGCTTCTGTGCTGCAGCCAAGTCATGACTTGGCTACAGTCCCTTGTAGCCTCAGTGAAGCCAGTCCCTGCTGGGTTAATCTGCCTGCCAGCGGAAGAATATGTCTGTGTTCATCAGTCTTGACAACCAGTCCCCTTTGCATTGCTTCATTTGCACCCTATCTTTTTGACTACGTTGCGCAGTACAGCTTGGTTTTGGGCTGTTGCAGAAAGCTGGAAGCTGGAAATGGAAGGCTTACCCATCTTCTTAGATCCTTATGAGACTTAGATTTGGGGTTAAGAGATGGATTGAATTAGATACAGTTGATCAGATATGACAGAACCTTGCATTGCATAAATTCTCCAGGTTCTCCATTATTTTCTGCTGGTGACATATTTTATGACTTTCTTCTTTGTTTGTAGGTGGAGTTGGCATGAACCTGACAGCAGCAGATACAGTTATTTTTACTGATAGTGATTTTAACCCACAAAATGACTTGCAAGCAATAGCAAGAGCTCACCGGATTGGGCAGCACAAGTGAGAAATGTTGCTACTTCTGGTTTGGTTGCTGACTCTCTTGGTCTCTCAGTATTGCTTTCCCTATCCATAGGCAATGGAGGGTTAAAGTACGATAGATTGAAGATCATAGAAGGAGAGCAGAGAGGATTTTATGTCTTTGTTTTTCTGTTGCAGCCTCGTGCAGTCTTGTCCATGTCACGTGTCTAGGGTGGGAGCTTTGTTGATCTGGAGGAGAGGGAATCTGGAGGTTTGCCTGCACTTTTGCAGTGAGCATTTCTCCTGTGTCAAAAGGCAAAATTGCATCAGCATTACATTTCTGCTGATTATTTTTGTTGATTTGGTTCCTGCCTTTTTTTTCCCGACCAAAGGAGTGGGTGAGGGGATAGTGCTCCATGTAAGGAAACAGCTTTAGTGCACCTCAAAAAAAGAAAATAATAAGAATTTTCTTAAACTTTTCAAGGCCTGTAAAAATTATCCGCTTGATTGGGCGAGATACAATTGAAGAAATAATCTACCGAAGAGCTGCTTCTAAGCTCCGGCTGACAAATACCATTGTAGAAGGGGGTCAGTTTGCTCTGGGAGCACCCAAGCCTCAGGGAGCAGCAGAGTTACAGGTAAAATAGAGCTATATCCTCAATTTGACTCCAGTAACATCTTCAGAAATGTCCCAGAGTGTTTCTGTATTTGTGTCTGATAGGAACCAAGCCAAACACTTATGTTTTGGGGGAGATGTGCACTGACACGACAGCTTTTGCATGTCTTAAGAACCAAAATGACATCCCAGGTCCAGACAAGATCTGACGTTTGAAGACAGTTTTTACAATTTCGAGGCACATCCATTGTTGGAAAAGGGTGTGTTTTCTTGGAGAAGAGGGGAAGGCAGAACCTATCCTTGTTTTACTACTTTATTTTTAATTATAACAGGTCTAAAGTGGAAGCTGACTCATTGTTTCTAGAACTTATCTGTCTCTGGTGCTTTTCTCTCACAAACAGAGCTGATGATAAGTACTTAGTCAGCTTTTGGTTGCTAGTCTGAAACTCGGTAAACCTTTTGTTGACATCTTGGCAAATATAGTGTCTCAGGAGTCAGGGCATGATGTATAATTCTGACCTGAAAGCTGAGGTTTGTGCTGAGAACTTGGGTTGAAAACCTCAAGCAAAGTGACATTTAGGGAAATATATCCCCTGTGTGCAGCTAAACCTGGGAGAGGTTTGGAATTAGTGTATCCTTTCCCCTGCCACCTCCCCTCCCTGCCCGGTCAGCATGTGTCTCAGCAGTTACAGTTTCCATGGGAGAAGTGGAACTGAGCCCATAGGAAATTCCATGCTGATATTTTTCTCCCCGTGGATTTTTGTGGTATTTAAGCTTTTGTTTTAAAGGAGTTGGGGGCAAAAACAAGCCTGGTCTTTCTGGCTATGAAGAAAGCTGCTTGAATGCAGTCAATACAGTGCTGTTTTGTCATTTAGCCCTGGAGAAAAATGACCGTTCAAGTCTAGATGAGTTATGTTTGAGGGAGATATGTTGTAGGGGCCTGTCCCATCAGGTGTTGGGATAATTAAGCATGTTAAAGCATAAGTATTTTGACAAGTAACATTAAGGCTTAGATTTCTCCACTCACACATCCTTTGCATTTAAGCCTGAGAAGCTCGAGGCACTGGGATTGGCAAGGAATTAGGAGATATTAATACTGAACTTCCCCTTCTCTTTGTTAAAGCTGAGTGAAATCTTGAAATTTGGCTTGGATAAATTGCTCTCCTCTGAGGGGAGTACTATACAGGATGTGGAGCTAGAAAACATCCTTGGAGAGACAAAAGGAGGGACGTGGGTAATGGATGTTGTGCTGCCATGCGAAGAAGAGAGTGAAGAGGAGGATACAGAGAGTAAGTTAAGAATCTAAATACCTATGAAATGAATGACGCTTGGGTGCTCTTAGAGAAGGCTTCTCAGACAGGGGTGGCATTTTTCGGGCAACAAGAAGAAAAATGGATTTGTAATTGAGCGAGTGACTTGGATTTTGTTTGTGATCTATCCACAGACTTTATTTCCAAGCCTTTATTGGCCTTTTTCTTCTTTTTGTGTCTTTATTTGCCTATTTGTAAGATAATAGTAACAATACTTGCCCATTTTGCTGGCTGGGGGGCTGAATTCCTTCAAGTGCTTCAAATATTTTGAGACCTCGGATGAAATTCACGAGAAAAGGGGAAATAATCAAACTGGAGATGCTGTTTTTCCCACAGAGAACCATTAAGATAGATCTACAGTTTTAGAGATATCACGGTAACTTGAGGAAAGGCTATATAGCAGGTGTTTTGTATTTATCTCCAAACAAAAGATTATTGGCCATGAAAATCACAATTTAAAATGACCTTAAAAAAATTCCAAAATGTGAGATAAGAAGTGTGGAGTCATGGAGTCTAATCAACTAGAACAAACCTACTCTGTCTTCAGTACTCTACCTTCCAGTCCAAATGTCACGCAGTTGTGGTTAGTTTTTCATAGCCCCATACTATATGAGAATAAATTCTAAGGATACTTTCCCTCTTCTAGTGCCATGGTGAGAAAGACTGAATTTCTGTTTTGAGTACACAGTAGCACTTAAATATAGATCTGTGACTGAAGCAGAAATATGGCCCTGCAGGTTAGGTATTGTCCATCCTGCAGCAGTTGCCAGCAACAAGTAATTATTTGCTGAGAGTTAGCAAAGAGTGGTATTTTCTGTTGGTAAATTAAAGAGGAGCAGTGGTACCACACTGCATAATAGTTATTGGGAAAATAGCTCACCTGATGAGCAGTAACCCTGAGCTGCCAGAATTCTGTGCTTTTATTTTGTTTGGGAGCTCAAAAGCAAAAGTTTGCTGTCCCTTTACAAGAGTTGCCTGTAACTAGATAGCAAAGCTAAATAGATTTGCTACTGGCAGAGGTGGAATGACCAAAGAGAACAGTGATGGAGCTACAACTTAAAATAGTTAATTGACCAAAATAGGAAGAAAGGTTCTTTGCCAGTATAAATGATTTAAATGAAAATCTTTTGCCTAAGGAAGCAAATCTTGATTCTCTTGTTTCTACATGGTGCTGACACTGGTCATACAAAAAAATGATGAGAGGGAACATCTTTTTCTGCTGAGGGTAGAACAGTGTTACAGAGAAGCCAGATTTCTTTTGATCTCACTGTACATTTTAGGTATTAGTGGCTTTCAGTTCCTTTTTACACTTTTTAATTATTTTTTAAAGATCACATGTACGTGTATGAAGGCAAAGATTATTCAAAAGAACCCAGCAGAGAAGACAAAAAAGCATTTGATCAGCTTTTGGATCTTCAGAAAGCCTTGACTGAAGAGACCAGTAAGGGAGGGAGAGCTCTCCGGAACAAAGCAAACGTAAGACAAAAGACATGACAAGGCACATGATGCTCTTTCATTTGCTTGTGGAAAATGAGGCTGACAGTTTTCTCTCTTTACCTACAGCTTGCAGAAGGCATGTTAAAAGATTTAGATGTCAATGTAGTAGAGCTGGCTCTTGAATCTGAGGGCTTGACAATTCAGGATTTCTGATAACAGATCAGAGATGTGATGTGCAGAGCACTCATATAAACTTAGGTCACAAAACCACATATTATGTGACAATTGGGATCTGATGATTAAGACCTGTGGACAAGTAGACAAACGGGAAAGGAGTGTAGGTTAAGGTGGGCACCAGACATGGCTTTAAGGTGAGCAGTAGGTTTCCATGATACTTCTTTCTCCAGGCCCTTCTCACAGGCCTCCGGGAACAGTCAACCAGGAGGAAGCACTTGCTGAGCGCAGAGGAGCTGGAGGTTAGGAGGAAGAAGCGCCAAGAAGCAGCAGCAAAGAGAGCAAGGCTCATGGAGGAAAAGAAGAAGGCAAAAGCAGAGGCAGAACACAAGAAAAAGTATGGTTTGTACTGCATCTACTACTTGTAAGCTGATGTCTGTTACACTATACTCTAGAAATGTGTGTCTGATTGACGAAAACAAGTCGTGCTCTGTATCCACTCTGGCAGGTGGGACTGGGGATGAGGGGAGAAGAAGATGACAAAATGGCTACAGGCCACCCTCATGAGAGAGTTGACTTCATACATCAGGATGTTTTTGTGTGTGTGCTCAAACTGCATAATGTAGGGATGTGAAGGTGGAAAAATGGCTTGAGCCCCTAGCAAGGGTTCTTTTCCCTGAATACACTGCCTGACTTCACATCTAATTTAATTCATAGAGAGTGGCCTGAATAAGAACTCCATATCTGAATGTACAGTGAGCTTTTGGGAAAAGCTTTCTGAAATGTCACAGTTGGCCCCTATGTATTGGTCTGACATCTGTGACTCTCTGGCATGTATCTTAACTTTCTCCTCCTTGTTTCCTAGATGTTCTTTTCACCACTCTAAGTATCTCCTTGCCCTTTGTCATATGCTCACTTTTTTCATGCCCGCAACTGGCTTATCACACTGGCGTGTGGCTCTTAATATCACAGATAACAACTGTGGTAAACTTTGTTCCAGTCTAAAATAGGGGAGAGGAGCAGAGGGAATGCAGGTCTGGGTCTCCTGTGTTTCACTGCAATGATTTAAAACAAGGTGTGTGCCCCCCATGCCCGCAACTGGCTTATCACACTGGCGTGTGGCTCTTAATATCACAGATAACAACTGTGGTAAACTTTGTTCCAGTCTAAAATAGGGGAGAGGAGCAGAGGGAATGCAGGTCTGGGTCTGTTTCACTGCAATGATTTGATTTAAGGTGTGTTGTGTCCCCCTTTGCTTTTCTTTTCATTGAATATCATCTTGTTTTGTTTCAGGATGGCCTGGTGGGAGGCAAATCACTACACATCTACCTGCCTTTCTTCAGAGGAAAGTGACTCTGAGGAAGAGTTTGAGGAGGATGAGGCTGGGCTGAATGTGGATTTAGATTATGAAGATGCCGACCTGAACTGTATCAAGTACGTCATGGGAGATGTCACCCACCCCAAAGCAGAGGAGGAGGATGCCATCATTGTCCACTGCCTAGGTGGGACTTAAAACAACAGGAATGATGTTGGGTGAGGTGGACAAGGGGGCTGAATTGTCCCTACTAGCTCAATAGTTTCCAATTCCCATCCAGACTGAAATAATTTGGATTTGAGTCTGACTTAATCTTGTGGTGCAGAGGCAATACAGCCTCTCTACTCCACCATGTATAACCCACACAAGTACTAGCAAGGTGTACATGGGTCTTTTCACGCCCTCTCGGGGTTTATGGGTGAGCCTCTTGAAAGGTGCCTGTATGGCTTGAAATTTTATGTCTGTGGCCAAGTGGGGACAGTTCTTCCTGGGAGCAGGGCCTTTTGTTCATCCCGTGGAAGCTGTAGGGATTGAACTGAGATATTGAAAATCATCTGCCTTACACAGTCAGCAGAGAGAGAGACAGGCACTTCTAGAGGCTGAGGTCAGAGTTTCTCTATCTCTGTGCTCGTCTCAGCACTGACAGTACAGAGGCCTTAAGCTAGTCTCCTAATTTAAGGACCTCTGTTAAGACACTAAAGCTAAGGGAGAGAAATTCACATTACAGAGTTTCTTCTGAATCAGTGTTGGAGCTGCTCTCTGACCAGGGCTATAGCAGAACATTATAATCTGCTTTGGCTTATGTTAAACTCGGCACAAAACCTCATGTTTAAAGTGGAAATGCCAAGTAAAAGTGAAAGCCTGCAAATAACAAACATCCAGTTGTGGGAAGCCCAAGGCAGCAATCTGGGGACATATATAAGTGCATAGAGCATGCACCTAGTGCATATATGTGAGGACACCAACAGGTTTATATGCTCAATGCCATGGTTAAGTGCTTGTTTGAGCATCCTCTGTGGACAATAAGAAGGAATTCTTCCCGCAGAATTTTTCAGGGAACTGTGACAAGTTTGTTTTTCTCAAGGGCTGAGGTTTATCCTCTAGGATGGTCCCTTGAGTACTGGTTGACTTCAGTTCGTATGTGGTTCCCATATCTGGTTTTGATAATCATTCGTTGCATTTGTACAGAGCAGGTCCCTTTCCTGCAGGGATGGTCTTCAACCTCACTTTCTAAAAGGGGTCTAACTTGTAATTTCATTCTAGATGACTCCGGCCGCTGGGGAAGGGGTGGTTTATTTACAGCTCTGGAGGCTCGTTCTGATCAGCCAAGGAAAATATATGAGATGGCAGGAAAGATGAAAGGTAAGAGATTAAAACATGACCTTAGGCCAAGATACCTGAAAGAGCTTAAATCCCACTGATGTTGCAGGAGTGAGGTGCCTGGATACCTTGATACTCATATTTTTTCCTCTTTCTCTAGATATGTGCATCCCTAGCTCTGAAAGTAGTAATACAGTGGGTGCTTTGACTTGACTTGTTTGGAGTGTGACAACTCTGCATAGGGGTTGGTCATTCCAATCCATGCTGCAAATCATTAAAAAAAAAGAAACAAACCCCGAACTTGTTCATTATTCATATGATGTTTTTCACTATATAAGACAGAGCCCTGCATCTTCTGTCAAAGTGCTTTTAAGAAGGACGAAAGCCACCTCAGGCAGTACTCAGTTGAGCTTTTGGTTCCCTCCAAGCACTAATCTTCTCCTGAGCATGTATTTGCAGTTTTGAGTACCTGCAGCTGGTGAGGAATGCACATCTTGCTGCAAGGTGAACCTGTTGTTTTTTTCTAATTTCCTGGGAGATGTTTTCTTCTTGTTCCAGTGTCTCTCTTTCCATTTGTGGTCTTTAACTGGGATGCGTGTGTGTCTGTGTGTCTCAGTCAGGGGGGAGTAATGTCTGTCTTGCTTCCCTGAGCAAAGGGGCTGACTCTGCTGAAACCATCATGAGGAGATAAAGAAAGCAAAGGAGAATAATGCAGAACATGACAGTGAAATCACTGCTGCACTGACTCACCGTTGACTCTTCAGGACTGATTTTTTTTGTTGTTGTTCTGTTCTTGTTTTCTGGACAGACCTGGAGTTAGGAGGAACCCTGTTATTCCCCATTGATGATAAAAAATCCAGGAAAAAAGGACAGGACTTGGTGAGAATGAGAAGCTCCTTTTTGTGTTGCTCTGTCCAGATGTTTTTGAAGCTGTGTGAAATGAACGTTATGTCCTTTTCCCAATAATAATGACACTGAATACTGAACATGGCTAAGTTGCAGTTAAACATTAGAGAAAAGGAAATCTTTTCCTCATTTATTAAAGCTCATAGTTAGTAATGCAGTTTTCCAGCAGCTATCACTGTGTCTCTCAGTGCTGTATTTAGACTCCATTTCATGGTTTTGTGTGTTTTCTCCTTAGTTGGCCTTGATTGTAGCTCAGCACCGGGATCGGTCCAACAACTTGTCTGGCATTAAGCTGTCTGCTTTGGAAAAGGGCCTGAAGAAGATTTATTTAGCAGCCAAGAAAAGGAATGGTAAGTGTTTGTGCAGTAGAACAGTGAATCTTTACATGTGTGATTGCATCTAAAGATGATGACCAGTTTCCACCTCTCCTGTACTGTTTTTTCTGAAGTGAAGTAAGAGTGAGATCTCCATGGCAGATATGTTGTGTTCCAAAATATTTCTTCTGTTCTTGTTGGGTAGCTTGAAGTCCTTATCTAGATCGCTTTCTATATGTGTATCTTGTCCTAAAGAGTGTGCGCTCTCTGTTCCCTCCTTCTCAGCAACAGTGCATCTTCCACGTATTGGGTATGCAACAAAAGATTTCAACTGGTATGGTACCGAGCGGCTCATCCGAAAATATTTGGCAACACGGGGTATCCCCACGCTTATGTATCCTTTTGGAGTATGTTTTATTTGGTTCACAATCTACTACTGAAATGATCCCCTAAATATCTTGGTGGATGCAAAGCAAGAAAGCAAGGCAAGGCACAGATGCCGCAGTCCAGCTAAAAACTTGGTTTATCTGATTTTGCTCTCATCCAGGTACTCATTCCACAGTGAGGACTTACCAGCTTAGGTGATAATGACCGATTCGTCTGGTTCAGTATGTCTGTCAGAATTTGTTGGAACTAGATGCTGGTCTTCTGTTGACAGTCATCAACTTACCCGTATATGCCACGTCTGTGGGGGAGATGCCTGGAATTTCAGAGTAACGGAAGTGACTCAGAAAGTAGCAAAAGTGAGGATGTGAAAAAAACGCAAGTGATAACCTGCTTCCTTGGCTGAACATGGTGGAGTTGGTGTGTGTTAGGACAGGCTCTTGCAAACAGCTCATTGCTTTCACCTTCCAGGAAAGGAAACAGAGGTTTACAAGGAGGCTTTGTTTTGTCCTTTCTCTAGGAAGACATGCATTTGCTATACTGCCACTGTCAGCAATTCTGTGAAACTGAAAACCTGAAACAAAGACAATAGTATTCAGAGCATTCTGCCACCTTCCTTGGTGAATCTCTTAGCAGACATGTTGTCTGGCACTCCTTGATACTTGACAGCATTTCCTTGACACTTCTTATTAGATACTACTTCCCTAGGAATAAAGGCTCTTCCTCTGCTTCACAACCATATTCATCTTCAATGACAGTCTCAAAGCCATGAGGATGCAGTAATTTCATTGAGAAACATGCGCAAAAAGCCAAGGATCTTTTCAACATCACGCAGACAGTCTGTATGCATCCACTTCAGAAACATGGCTTACACAGCCATTATTCACTCCGATATCTGTTTGCCTTTATTGGCCAGAACGTTTACATGTTGTCAGTGGCTCTGGAGAGGAATGCGACTGCTTCAGAGTTCAAAGAGTCTTTGGATAAGGATGTTCCCTCAATCCCAGATCTGTTTTGGAGATGGAAAGTTAAACTTTCACTGATGGTCAGTTGTTATCCCTTACATTAAGTTATTGCTAGGGCTTGGAATATAGTATTGTCTGACCATATTTTTTCCCCTCTTCAAATTTCATGCCTTGTCTCACTATACCTGTTTTCAATCAGCTTTTTAGTGGTTACCTGGGACTGTGTGTACATGCCCACATAGACATCTCAGTGGAAAGGAAGCTGTCTGCATTAACAACACTGCATGACAACTGCATACTATAAACTGTTTATACTGTTCCAGTTCCCCAGAAGTCCATTTGACTTGCATTTGTTCACATATAAAATTTAGTCACATAATCACATGCTTACAATCTAGCAAAATCCTGACCAGTATTCTTGGCAAAGGCGTGCAAGACTGCCAAAATTTGAGACTGGCTTTATAAATGACACCCTTCCTTCTCCCACAACTGCTTTTTCATTACACAGTTCTTTGTTGCAGCTATTGGGCAAAACCAGTTCCTTACTGCTGTCCAAAAAGCTGTGTGAAAGGTTCTATGACCCTTTGATTCGCTTTAAGGAAAACTTAATGCAGAGTTTTTGATGTTGGCTTTACTCTATTGCAACAGAACTTTCCTGTTTTTTGCATTGTTGGCACTGTTGGCTTTAGCATATTTTTTAGGGTATTTTAGTACAATGAGGCAATAGTAGCGTTCCTAATAAGTGTTTTGACCAGAGAGACTGTGAGGTGCCAAACTTAATTAAATTTAAAGTTCAGCTTCCAATAGGAGATGGCCCCACAAGCAGTGGAAAGTGTGTCTTTAAATACCTAATTGCCAACACACATCTCATTGGCTGCATTTACACTGCCTCTGTAGCACCATCTGGTTACTTAATAATTTCAGGCCTGATTCTGACATGGCTCATCAGCTGACTGGTGTGCTCCACACTAGAAGAAGCCTTCCTGAGTTGGATACTCTGTCATTCACTGTTAGCTCTACCAGAAAACCCCAAGTGATTTGTTATCTCCTTTGACCCTGCTGAAGCTTAGGTAAGCCGGTGCTGCTTAGCACCTCAGTAGGCAAGACCTTTCTTGCAGCTGCTCACAGGAACAGCCCCTTTGTATTTGGCAAAGGGCTTGCAGGATCAGAGTCTGACTGTGAAGGCTTTCTGGGGTGAAAGGTGGTGAGTGGATGTACATTACCTTGTTTTCCCCCCGTCGTGCGAACTGGCACTCTTCCAGCAGGCCGGCTGGTGGCACTGTTAATCAGCTGCAGCAGCGCATGTTGCCCTCGGCCTCCTTTCAGAGAGCAGGGCAGTGATCTCCAGCCTGGAAAAACGCTGCCTCTTTGCCAGAATTAAAACACCGGTTATGCTTTTCTCTTTGCCGGCTTGACTGAACACATAATTTCAGTCTGCAGTCTCAAGGCTCTGTTCCTCCACCTATTCTTTTCCTGTATATTTATTGCCCTTCTTTAAAAGGTTTCATTCCCAAGTGTTCTAGTGTGTGCAGTCTTGTTCCTCAGCTTCACACACACCTATGGCCAAATCCCTGTCCACCTACGGGTTCTCTGGCCACCATGCAGTTACACATGGACAGGATTTGTCTTGTGGCTGAGTCCCCTAGAATGGGTTGAAGTAGTGCATATACCACCACTATGGCCAGGTATTCCTATTTGAGGCCTCATGCTTTCCTTTGTTTCTATAAGAAGATGGGGCTCTGCCTCTGTCCTGTGCCCCCACCCTGCTATAACTCTGACTAGAATTATAAAGGAGAGGAGGGCATGACTACCTGCCTGTTAATGTCCCTTACCCTGTAAGATACGGTCCGCAGGGGACTGCAAGGTTCCTGGCATGCACAGAGGAAAGGTCTTGGTATGCAGTAGATTCTAGCCCTCTAACTTAGGGGCAAGTCAGACAAAAGATGTTCTCTTTTCCCCTTCTAGTCCTCTTGGCCTGTACAGATGAAATCTACCTTATTTTTTTCCCTTTAAATTTACTTAGGAAATGCTTCTGGAGTATGGGGGTTTTCTTGTTTTTGTTTTTTTTTTTTTCTTTTTTAAACAACATTCTTTAATATTCTTTAAATTTGCTGAACCCAGAGAAAAGTTCTACCTCTGTCTGCTTTGAAATGGAAGTGAGATTTCAACTGAATTCTGAGCTGGGTTTTGCAGAATCTCAGCCAAGTGAAGTTTTTCTAGTGTTTGCTACCCACCACCATTTCTCTTTATTTGGGCAGAAATCATGTATTTTGGATAATTAATTCCATAAAGGGCTCAGAAGCTTTATATGCAAGTTGCTATGCAAAATAAATGTGTCATGCTGTTTCTTCAGCTGTGCAGTACTACGCATTTTCCCTTTCTAAATAGCAACCACCCCAAAAGGGAAGGAAGGTGTTCTTTTGTAGTCATGTCCCTCTGGCCTCTCTCTTCCTCTAAACAAGATTTTCTGCAGCAGAAGAGCTGAAATGTGGCTCCTTGTGCATATCTGTCATTGCATGTTTACTTAAACTTTAGATGTATGCTGCTAGATTGAGGTCAGCGGCACAGAGCAAGATCATGCACAGTTCAGACTGGCTATACGAGCAGTTTCATCAGGTAGGACCTATGAAGTGGCATCCAGTCTCAGTGAAGAACTTTCCTCTCCACCCCATGCTGGAGGCTCCAGCTGATGCCATGTAAGAATGGGCAGTAACTCAGAATGACGTTTATACTTGTGCCGGCTCAGCTCGTGCTTATGTGTCTTACTTGACAAGGCACTGCCTCTGATTCTCAGAGCATTGTGCAGACTAATTCTGTCTTTGGTGAGGAATCTCTGTGGCCTGTAACTAAAGAATGACCTTTTCATTCTACTCAGGAAATAGTAAAAAAAAAAAAAAATAATAAAATGGAGAAACCAATCAGGTTTTATGGACATGTGTAGATAGGTGATTTTGTCACTGAATTTTGTCACAAACCAAAATTATCTGGTTGTGTCACTGTGTGTTGGGGAAGGTGGAGTCTGGATTTTGGGGAAAGAAAGAGGAAGACTGGTTTCCAAGGTGATGGAGAAAATCTACAGCAAATTCAACCTCAGTATCTTAACAAAAATATTGTATGTATGTGTCTCCAACAAGGCAGAATCTGGCCCACAAAAACGATTAGTAGAAAAATATAAGGATGAGTAGATGGATTTATTTAAAAATAAGTGAATCTAATCGTCCTGGAGGAAAAAAGAAAGCTAACTTTTGAACAAAGAGATGACTTAAAAGTGTAACCTACATGTCAAGTTGTGTGAAAACTCCCACAATTTTACAGAGATGATCCTAGAAGAGCGAACGTAGACCTTTATTTAGCTAATTTGACTGGATAGCAGGTTGATCATGCACTGTGATCAGCAAATCAAAATGTAAGACAATGATTCAAAACCCTAAGAGATTTGCTATAAGAAGGGATAAAGTCCACATTCCGGAAGGTGCCTCTTCTAGTAGATCCAAGATAACTTGTGTTCCACACAACTGTGACTGAAAATCCATGTTTCCCTGGTTTTCTGTCCAACTTATGCTTTTCAGAGTGAAAAATACAAACCTGAGGAATGCAGTAGCAGGATTAGTAGAATTACATATGAGTATTCCCTCTAAAAAGCAGATCTCTGTTATCATTTTGAATTCCCTGCATGAATGAGTTGGTGTGTATTTTCCATGCTGGACTCTACCATCCACCCATCTTGGCCCTGGTCAGATGGTATTGCATTTGTGGGAAGACACCTAGAACCTTCTGAAAATGCGATGAGGATAAGCGTTTTCTGGATCCTCATGTTTCAACCAGGAAGGTAATGTTCCTGCTTGCACTTTCTAGCATTTTACTGAGCATTTCTTCAAAGTTAAGGATAGAAACAATCCCCTCAAGGAGCTACATGAAATGAGAATGTTAGTCATGTTTCTGTTGAAAAAAAACAAGCCAAAGGAGAGTTAAGGGAAGCCAGAAGTTAACTTCTTGTAAGATCTGAAAATGTCTCAGTTTTTGCTGGCTTGAGCAGAAAAGAATTATTTTATTAACTTATTTGTTGAAGTTAAGCGCAGGGCATCTACTAGCCTTCCTCTGCTACTTCCAGTGAACTTGAGGTTGTAGCATCAGCATTCACATAATAAGGATTATTTTTTTTAATAGCAGAGAGACAAATTAGGAGCAAATCAAAGGTGTTTATGATCTCATGCAAGTCCGCTGCAGAAAGGGATGAAGAATCTGAGATCACATCCCTTTTCTGTGTGCCACATCATGAAACAGGCCAAGTTTGGGCCTGGCTTCATGTGAGTCTCCTACCTGTTCATCTGTCTGTCTATTTGTGCATCAAAGAGCATGCCATGAAGCAGTGCTGGTCCATGTACTTGACCACTTACAGATCCTCCCTAAAACATCTCCTGGCCACTATGCCAGCAAAAGATCAAAACAGAAGGGAACTGCAGTGAAGGTGTTCTGCATTACATGCAGACAGAACGGATCTCAGATTCACAGGAGCATCATTTAAGTTGGAATGGACTTCCAGTCCGGACCAGAGACCATCTTTGTTTGACATGGACATACTGGAGTGAGTCCAGCATAGGTCCACTAAAATGATTCAGGGATCTGACATACTAGGAGGTGGGGAGAGCTGGGATTTTTTAGTCTTGAGAAGAGAGGTTTCAGAGTGGAATCAATGTGTGCAAATCTGTGTCAACATGAATAAATAAATGATGGAAGGGAGTAAAAAAAATGGAGCCAGACTCGTCTCGGTGGTATCCAGTGAGAGGAAAAGAGGGAACAGGTACAAACTGAAATACATGAAATTCCATTTAAACGTGAGAAAAAAACATTTTTACTCTGCAGGTGCTAAACACTGGAACAGGTTGCCTAGGGAGGTTGTGGACTCTCTGTCTTTGGAGATGCTCAAAACCCGACTTGGCACAGCCCTGAGCAACCTGCTGTAGTTGACCCTGTTCTGAGTGGGGAGACTGAACCTCCAGAAGTCCATTCCAACTTAGCCAATTCTCCTGTGAATCTGAGATCCGTTCTGGGTACTTTAAAAAAAAAAAAAAACCAAACCAACTCTAATCTTACCTGTTCAGTAGTGTACAGGAGCATAGCACTTCACAAATTTCTGAACTATGACCCTACCACACAAGTAGCTTGATTCATGCAAAACGTTTCCTCATGTCTCAGTGGTTTAAACAGATGATGAGAGAGAAGCACGTAACAGCGTCTCAGGATCTGTCCCTGAGCCCATCGTCACCGTATTCCTCCTTTGCCAGTATTCTGTGTAACAGCTTGACCTAGTTGGGTGCAAATGGGCCTCACTGCCGGGTCTAACAGGTATCTACACCAGCTGGGTCTGGACAGGTGCTGGTCCTCTTCAAGGTTTGTATACATCCCCAGCTCAGCTCTCTTAGCAATCTCCTTTCCGTGGAGTACTGCAACAAGTCCTGCTGCTCTAGACCATGAAAACAGTGTTTAGAAATCCTCTAAATCTTCTTGAGCAGCTGCTGGGGCAGCATAGTAGGAGAAGAAATACAGACTTAGCAGAGTTTCTTGGTTGCTTTCAAAGAGGTCCAGTTAAAGACCTTTGAAAAAGACCCCTTTCCTTCGTTGAAGTTTTCCCGAGTTTCTGTAGCCTTTCAGGCAGGACAGCATCTCCCCTTGTCCTCTTCCCCACTCGGCACAGGTAAAACCTTACTCCTTGCACCGAGTCTCTCCCTGTGCCAGATGCATGGCCTGCATAAACTCTAGCCTGTTGCCTTTTGTCACATTTCCCTCACCTCTGAGCGGGGAGGAAGCAAGCCCCGTTGAGATAGTCGTGCCGTGGGGAGCCATTAGCAGCCGGCGAGGCTGAGAGGCAGGCTTTCAGCAGGGTGTCGGATGCTTTCCAGGGCAGGGCCATTGCCTGGAATGCAACAGAATCGGGCCTTGGGCAAGTTTAGACACATGTTGGTGCATAATACAAGATGGAGCCTATCACTCGATATTGGCCTCTTCCAGTTAGTCACGGGGTTGGGTAGGCGTGTACGCCATGCAAAACAGGAGGTAATGTAGCTACCAAATCAGAGTGATATGGAAACATTTAATTCCCAGTTGACTGTTCCATTGTGAAGTCATTCCATGTTGTACAGGTGTTGAGTAGGGGGCAAGCACCACAAATAAAACCGTGGCATTATTTTAGAAAAAGGGAGTGAGGGAAAATTGGAGTGGAAAAATGAAAGATGCAATCTACAGCAGCCGCAATAATGCAATACAGAAACTAGCTGATAGGAATAACTTCAGTATCTTCTGCATCTGATCCCTTTGTAGACTGGATTGTTCTTGAGTAGTTCAAAGCAGAGGACTGGAATCTAGGAGGTCTAGATTTTCTTCATGCGTTCCCAGCTGCAGGTTCA